AACAGCAGGCCACAGCCATTCAGGCTGCCCCATCAACTGTGAGTTTTAATTTGAGCCACTTTCACATTTAAAAAAAAAAAAAAAAAACCTTACTTTTTCCGCCAACCCATCTTCACCCTGTGTCGCACCACCTAAAGCTTTCAGGCGATGCTCTACTCCGGAGCAAGCCAAGCATATCAAGTGTGCCTGCAACACTCACAGGCTAATGAACAATGCACAAAAACAAAAGGAACAGCAAGGCTCCTATTATCTGATCTTCCGTAAAACACAAAAACTGCCTTCTCTAGTGCAGAGGAAGTGCCAGGAAGCCTGCAGGTGTGAGCCGGTTAAAAGAAAAGGCTTCGGCTAAATAGATTCTTTGACTGTCAGGGATTAGAGTCATGGCACTAGTGGTAACACACATCTTTTCCTTTAATTTACAAAATTTTCTCACGAGTCTGCAAGAGTTCACCCCATCAGGGGCTTTGGAGGCCATTGAAATGTCTTAAGTTTTAATTAAGTTGGAGTTGTCAGAAGAAAGCTTTTTTGGCACAGAGTCAGGGTCATTAATTACTGCTATCTTTGTTTCTTTCTGTAAAGAGAACTCTGCTGACTTGTTGGGTTACTTATCCAGCCTACATTTTCTACCCTGCAGTTCCCATTCACTTCCAAGTGGGACTTGATTAAGCAGTTTACCAATTACTCCCATCAGTTTTAGGTACAAAGCTTTTACACAATTTTCAATCTTAAAAAACATCTCTCATTAGTGGCTTAGGGAACAGTATTAATAACAAATTCATCTAGTAAGTTATCAAGCAGCTGGATTCTTGCATGGATTTTTGCATTTAAATATAAATATTCTCACATTTTTCACGTCATTCTCTATTCAACACACCTATTCATATTCTCACAGCCTGTGACTTTGCGTTTGGGGCAATGCTTGGCAATTTTAAAATTATTTACTTTACCCAGTAACACAGAATTTTAGCTGGAAACATCCAAATTTGCCAGACTTCTTTTCAATAGGGCAAATATTTTTGTTTCTAGATAAAATCAGCTGCCGTTATCACTGATGATATTTTGGAGATGTAAAAAAGCAGAAGTTTTAGGTAACTTGTTAGTATGCTTCATACACCTCTAAAATAAATCCATTGCTATTTGAATCAAGTACACAGACCATTACAAATCTTCTGATTGTCTTGTAAAAAATTTCAAATTTCTAAAATACCACACAGACCTAAAGGAAGTTATATCAATTTAATTACGTATGTGAAAGTCAAGAAAATTATACTTCTTAAAAAAAATCATGAACCTAAATTCTGATTTTGATGGGAAAGTATACTATTTTGAGATAATTCACTCTGAGGCATCTCCTTTATGGTATATATTTTGTATGTGTCATTTGCGTTATACATAATTTCTATTCTTATTTCACAGAAAAAAAGAGCAAAAGCAAAACAGTTTACGTGAGTTTCAACTTTGGGAATGGAGCTGAATAATTGCCTCAAAAATCAAGAAACATATAAAAAAGTAAGCCTGAGTCAAGGCAGATATATTTCTGTCCACCAGTATGGCTAGAATTAGTCTTTGAAATTAATAACATCTATTTTTAATAGATGAATGAAATGGATGGGAAAAGATATATAAACTTCAGCAAATCCAATTACCAGAATCACCCCTTTCTTCCTGATGATATGATACCACTTCAAAATATTACTTTTTCCTAGTAATCTCATCATCACCTGCCATGATTAACAATAACAAACATGTTACCAGCAAATATATGCCATTTCAGACCGGGCTCTGAATGCCATAATGGGCACTAATCATTATAATGATAATGACTCATCATTATCTGATGATTCTCAAATGTAAAACTTCTGAGCCCAGAACTTGGACTAGGCCCCAGTGTAAGGAAAACCAAATAACCAGTGCTTTCATTCATTCTGGTCCCAAAACGGGTCACTTTGGATGGGATAGGAAAATTCCTGGTTTGACTGAATAGCTGATGCTGTCATGTCTCACAGATAAAACCATAGTTTTTGGCCATTATACTCTTCTACTTATTAAACCTGAAATGATGTACCTGAAAAAGAGGTGTGTAATTTTCCTCTAGTCTTCAATAAAAGTTCTAAATGCCATTTCTGATGTGGAGCACATCCGTTGCAAAAATAAAAATAAAATAAAATAAAATAAAATAAAATAAAATAAAATAAAATAAAATAAAAAGTTTTAAAGTACAGATGAAATAAATTCGACAATCAAATGTAGCTACTCAGTTCATTTAAGAAAATCCAAGTTTTCCACAAAGTAGTGAAGTAAAATCCTTACACAGATTATTTCAAAGCCAAATAGTAAAGTGAGACTCATCTTCCAGGATTAAATAGTCATTTGAAGCCTCCATTCTCCCACCTTTGGTTTGTGTCTTTTGTATCACCCCGAAGATATCAGGAGTGTGAGGACCACGTTTTCCACCTCCAAACTACTTGCCAAAGTGCTAGAATAAAGTAAGCACTTGACAATTAAGTCAACATACACAAAGATAGATATGATACGTCAATCTTAAACTCAAAAATGAACCCATGTGCTAATTATGATTATACAAAAAATGTTATTTACAGATTTTTATAATAATTCCGTGACATTTCAAATCATCCAATAATCCTGTGGAACAATTCTGCATACCCTTCATTTATCTGAATTTGTTGTGAATATGTAAGAGTATCTTCTGAGTATAACATTTCTGAACCAGG